TGTAGAAAATGTCCAATTTCCCAATAAAATTGCTTAAGATTCATTTGAAATATTTTATTTTGGCGATAGAACCTACAATGTTTTTCGTATCATCCTGTTTTCTATGCTTTTACCTGCAGTTTCTATTTTAGCATTTCCTTGATTGATGGAATGTCATTTAGTGATTTAATCTTCCTTCATCAGCGTGTTGAGGTATTTGAGTTTCTTGAAAATTTCATCTACTATCGAAATATCATATCTGATTTCCTTTATTTCTCGTATCATTTTATCATTCCAAAATCGGTCTCATTGTCTGTTGTTTGATCTTTTTTATTTTCTTGACCCCACGCTTCCCAGGATCTCCTAAAGCTGTTTCGTATATGACGTTGTTATCTTCCGCAATGTTCCCCAGCGGTTTGTCCGTTAACAGGTTTTCCAGTGGAGCGTTGTATATTTGCACATTGTGCGTATTGCACTTTTTCATATGAATTTTTGAGAACTGGTATCTATTTGACATTTGTGTGAGAGTTACTTTGCTGAGTTATTTTTTTTTTGTTTTTTCGTTTCGGTGATTCTTAAGGAATTCTACCCTAATGTCGTTTGATTCATCTTCAGTGATATAGTCTGGATAACTGCGGGTTTTGTCATAGGTAGATTAGTAGGTGATTAAATAATTTCTCGTTTACTTTTTATCCATAGCTATTAGTGTTTAGTCCATGCGTAAGGGGGATTAAGAACAGACAAAACAGAAGGTGTCAGGGAGTCTCCTTGAAAGATTCATCGTCGGATATTCAGGAAGGTGGAGATGGCTGTGCTTCAGGAGTGATTTAGGTATAATGTGGTTTTCCACATTCTCATGCTGTGATTAAGGAAATTTACTATAACGTAAGAGACTTTGCACATTTCGAAATTCTTTTATTGTTATTATTATTATTATTATTATTATTATTTTGGTGCCAAACATTGATGTCGTCCACAGAAATTTTGTTCTTGAGTTATGATGTTACCAATTTGGTACTTAGTAATTTTATTATTTATAAAAATATGTTCGGAATTGCGGGCTTCATTGGCATTTTAAATTAGTATTTTTTTTAAGCCTTTTCCCCCCTCAATTCCTATTGGGATTGCCACTAGCACGCGCAACGGGTTACAGAGACTGAAAGCAAGAGTAAAGAGTGGTATTTGAGGAAAGGATATAGAGGAGGACGGGATTAGGATCAAAGCATTAGTAGATGTCGATGGACATTACATTTAAATTTTTGAAGGCCATTGTTATCAGGAAAGCAAGTAAGAGGAAGGGAGCTACGCAGTTGGGAAGTGCTAGAGAAGAAGCTGTTGGAGTAGAAGACGCAGTTCCATTTAACTATTTCAGCAATAAAAGGGTGGCCACGATGCCAACCTAGTACCCCGCTTCAGTTCATGCAGTTGGGGAACCAATTTAAATAGCTAATCCGAAGAGTTGTCATGAAAATAATTGTAGTCTGTGAGTAAGTAATGTGTGCCATTTAAGTAGCCTTATTTCTAAGCAGAAGGAATGGCTAATAGGTCTAAATATAATTTTTCTATTATTTATACTACGTATTATTAATCCTATTTCCTTTTTTTAGCCTTGGCACACATATTCTATAAGTTTTGTCCTCGATTGAACCTGAAGAGCGACGAGCGATAACCGATTCGTCCTTTTTCGTTGTTCTTTCTTTGTTAGCCCTGTTTTGTTGTCATAGTGATTTTCCATGCGTAGCTTAGATGTGGCACAAGGTCGAAAGTAGGGGGCATCCAATGAGGATCGAACTCACTACTCAGTCGTAATTGTTCTAGCGAGACAAGCTTGTTAACCATTACACCGACTCGAGGTGCCCCCCCACCCTGTTTTGTTGTCATATGTTTCGATCAAAACTTTCTGGTTAGTATTTCCCCTTCTTATACTTACTCTTCCACCCCTTTGTTTCTTACTGTTCAAAAGTTTCAGGATCTCTTGACAATTTATTAAATTGGCCCCAAATGCAGCTGTTTTATACGTTAAATAAGAGAAAAATATTAGACATATTTAAAATAGTGAGATTTGATTTTTCATTGGGCATTTTGTCATGACATAAAGCAGAAAAGCATTTCATGATTAAATTTTGCTCTCGTCAAAATATCCTCCTTTAGTCTTGATTACTGCAGCACAAATCTTTGGCTTTTGTTGCAATAGTTTCTCAAATTATAACTATGATAATTGGTTCCATTCTTTTTTCTATGACTCTAAGAGGTATTTTTTTTTCATTTTTTTCACTCTTCTGTCAAGTTCATCCTATCCTAATTCTGAGAGTGGCTTCAATCATTTGAACTGTAGTGTATATGAAAATATATATATATATATATATATATATATGAAAAAAAAAATACAGAAAAAACAAAATTCTGAATATGCATTATTAATGTTAAAATAAAGTCGACGTCGGACGTTTCGGTCTATTTAAGACCATCTTCATGGACATTTTCATTTAAACATAATTAACATTATAACTTATAACGATTATAAATTTAACACAAAAGACGATGGACATAAGAGCCCAACTAATTCAGACAGATAACTGAAATTTTATACAGATCAGCGTTCTGTTTAAATATGATCACGTAGTCGTCACGTGGGCGATGTTGTTAAGACGTATTCGAAGATGATTTCCAAAAATTAAAAAATATCAAAAGTCGAATGAAAAATTTTATAAACAATTAAAGAAATCTCTTCCGTTGATGTTGGAATACGTAGTGATCAATTGGTTCTTATATCTTCAACAAGCTTGAAAGTTTTTCCCGTTACAATGCAAATCAAAAGTGATTTTAAAAACGATGGAACAGTTCTAAAAAACAGTTCGATAAAAATTCCATTCTTTACTTGATCAATAGATTCCCTCGTCCAAGCTTGAAATCTTCCACGTTATAAAGTAAATTCAGGTTTGTATATTTTCAGTAGACAGTATGTAAGCAAATATATGGATATAAATCCGACAGTATGAAAGAAAAATAAATTAAAAAACAAAACAGAAAAAAACAAAATTCTGAATATGCATTATTAATGTTAAAATAAAGTCGACGTCGGACGTTTCGGTCTATTTAAGACCATCTTCATGGACATTTTCATTTAAACATAATTAACATTATAACTTATAACAATTTAACACAAAAGACGATGGACATAAGAGCCCAACTAATTCAGACAGATAACTGAAATTTTATACAGATCAGCGTTCTGTTTAAATATGATCACGTAGTCGTCACGTGGGCGAAGTTGTTAAGACGTATTCGAAGATGATTTCCAAAAATTAAAAAATATCAAAAAGTCGAATGAAAAATTTTATAAACAATTAAAGAAATCTCTTCCGTTGATGTTTATAACGTGGAAGATTTCAAGCTTGGACGAGGGAATCTATTGATCAAGTAAAGAATGGAATTTTTATCGAACTGTTTTTTAGAACTGTTCCATCGTTTTTAAAATCACTTTTGGATTTGCATTGTAACGGGAAAGACTTTCAAGCTTGTTGAAGATATAAGAACCAATTGATCACTACGTATTCCAACATCAACGGAAGAGATTTCTTTAATTGTTTATAAAATTTTTCATTCGACTTTTGATATTTTTTTAATTTTTGAAATCATCTTCGAATACGTCTTAACAACATCGCCCACGTGACGACTACGTGATCATATTTAAACAGAACGCTGATCTGTATAAAATTTCAGTTATCTGTCTGAATTAGTTGGGGCTCTTATGTCCATCGTCTTTTGTGTTAAATTGTTATAAGTTATAATGTTAATTATGTTTAAATGAAAATGTCCATGAAGATGGTCTTAAATAGACCGAAACGTCCGACGTCGACTTTATTTTAACATTAATAATGCATATTCAGAATTTTGTTTTTTTCTGTATTTTCTTTCATACTGTCGGATTTATATCCATATATTTGCTTACATATATATATATATATATATATATATATATATATATATATATATATATACTTTTTAATGTCCGTTCTTAAAATTCTTTACAATCATTTCATATACACCATAGATTATTAGAATATATACGTTAATGTTGTTTCAGTTTGTTTTCCGAAGATCTCAAAGAAATTATTTCCATATCGTTTCCTTTGACATTCCTTTAATTTGTCATGTATAGTGGCTGCATAATTATATAGTCGACTCGATTACTTCTCATTTTGAAGCTCTCATTCTGCATGTGAATTTACGTTAGTCCTGTTGAATGTTTGGCTAGCTATCCTTATTACCTCTGGCCTTTGTTACAGAAACAAACAAAGAACTGTACCGTGTTACACGAACTACATCAGTCGAGGAGATTCAACAGTAGTAATAGCTAAAATCTAATTCAATGCGCATGTAACTCAGAGAGAAAATAACGGATGTTGATGTTCGATACTACTTGCAAATAAAGGCTAGAAAGGAAAGTTCCAAAAATACTGGAAAGATCGATAACCGATACTGGACATTCGAAAACCTATTTTCCTGAAAAAAAACTTTAAGGGAAAGACAAACTGACTGAAATTTTGGCTGCTTGTTCAATGAATGCCAAATATTTCCTTATAAAAAAAAGATTATTATTACAATTACTATTTGTAATTCTCCATTACTTTGTTTGCGTAGGCAGCTCAAACATCATTACCGAAAAAACTTTCACCTATTTTATTTGTTTTTCGTCCATGTTGATAATCTACTTGACTTTAAGATTTTACGTATTGTCATTAACTTCATTGTAATCGATTATGCTATCATGATAATATTACGATTAGAATAAAAAATATATTTAATCTCTGAAGTCCTTTCTACCCTAGTCCCTGTGTGATACAGGCTCTGGCCGGCATATTTCTTTTCGATTCAAATTCCTGTTCCTTTCTGCGGTAGACTGGTTGCCAGGCAAGATTATAGGGCCCAGTGTGTCCTGCTATTTAACCTATAGCTGAGTATTTGTTAATGCAACGCAATCGATGGAATTTGAAATTGACCACCGATTTCTCTTGTAGGGTTTCAAAAAAAGAAAAAGAAAAAAATGTCTATTCCCTGCTCACATCAAGGACGGTAACTCGGTCAGAGACTTTTGTCAGCTTCTCTTAATATTAGTAAAAATGACGACGTTATAAATTATTTTAATTGCTTTCATCTTTTTTTTCTGCGATTTTGTGATGGCACAGAGCCTGGCTAAATTATGCTAAATAAGTAACCAAACTCTCTTATTTCCGAAGAGAATACTCTATTAATAATATTCGGTTTCGCAAAAAATGTATTTAAGTATTTTTACCTATTTTTTGATTCAGGCGCTCCTCAAAAATGGAATAAAATACATCAGATGTGCAACATCAAATTCACAAATTGAATTTAACTTTAAAGACAAAAAAGTAAAAGTCTCTATTATTTATTTTCTTTTCCATTGTCAAATTCTCAAATTTACCTATAAATAACTGTACGTTATTCCTTCATTTACAAAGTCTCGTTCGAGTTTTTTGTTCTCATCTTCTGACGTGATTTGGTAAGTCGTTATTTTCGGCACTTAATTTTTTTTTACTCTTTATTCGTTTACTTTTTCCACAAATCTATTTTTGTTTTTGACTTGTTAAGTTATGATTCAGTCACTGATTCATCGGTTGTTGGAAACCGGACAGATACTAAATGTCGTTGAAAATATCATAGCGTCTCAAAAGTGTTTTCCTTTTTTACGAAGAAATTCTTCAAAGAATATTTCATGTTCCCAGTTCTCTGTGATTCAACTATATTATTCAAAATATTTTTTTATCTATTCGTGTATATCAAACTCACACGTGACATCAAGTGGATCTCGTACGTACGAGATCCATAGCTTAAGATGCAGGTAAAATGAACGGCTCCATTTACCGCGCTAGTAAGTACCTGAGGCCTCACGCTATCCTCTACCTTTATAAGAGCCAGATGAGGCCGAAAATGGAGTAGTGTATTCATATTTGGCCGGGATTTAATTTTTCTTGTCTCGACAGATTTCAAAAACGTCTCCAAGTCCTTGTGGATTGAAAATTATTTACCAATCTCCAACCTCTGTCGCTCAACGGGGATATGGAGAGCCTCTTTCTAATCTATGGCTTCTTCCACGGTAAGAGCACGTACGATCTAATCTCATATATATAACTGGTTGCTTACATTCAATGCCTCTAAAATCAAACGACATTCCAGCATCGCTGATCGGACCCCAAATTTCAGTCAGTTACGATGAACAGATGTCCCCTTGGAGAGACCTCGTGCCTTGAGAGATTATTCGACCTTAAAGTCACACCTGACCTCAAGTGGAATTCGTACATACGAGCCATCGCTAAAATGCAGTTAAAATATTCCGCCTCTGTACCGCTCCAGTAAGTACCTGACTCTTGCTATCTTCTATCTTTCCAAGAGACAGATCAGGCTGAAAATGGAGTACTGTTGTCATATTTGGCCGGAGTTGCCATTTCCAGTTTTGATAGATTTCAAAAACGTTTCCAAGTCCTTGTGGATTGAAAATTATTTACCAATCTCCAATCTCTCTCGCACAAGCGGGATTTGGAGAGCCTCTTTCTAATCTATGACTACTTCCACGGGAAAGGCTCGGACGATTTAGATTTATTGATTCCGCCAAATTCTGTCTGTCAATTTTTAATTAAATCTTTGAAATTTCCGATTAATTTTTTTTCGGAAAATTTGCCGAAATTTATATTATATTTTTTCTTTGAAAGTACTTAGGAAGAAACAAGACAATATATGTTATAAGTTAATATGAATTTCCGCAAATTTATCGATAAAACAAAAATATTCGGAAATTCGAAATAGTTAATAAAAACAAACTGACAAACCGAATTTGAACATATATATATATATATAACTGGTTGCTTACATTCAATGCCTCGAAAACCAAACTATATTCCACCATCGCTGATCGGACCCAGAATTTCCGCCAGTTACGATAAACAGATGTCTCCTCGGAGAGGCCCCGTGCCTTGAGAGATTATTCGGCTTTAAAGTCACACCTGACCTCAAGTGGGACTCGTACATACGATCCATCGCTAAAGATACAGGTAAAATGATCGGCTCTATTTACCGCTCTAGTAAGTACCTGAGATTTCATGCTCTCCTCTATCTTCATAAGAGCCAGATCAAGCCGGAAATAAAGTACTGTTGCCATATATGGGGCGGGGATGACAAGTCCTCAATTTCCAGTCACGAGAGATTTGAAAAGCGCCTCTGAATCCGTGTGGGTGACGAATTATTTTTAACACTCCAACCTCTATCTTACGGGCGGGAAGTGGTAAGCTTCTCACTGCTACATTCCATGGAAATTGCTCGGCCGAACTGCATTCTTTGATTGCGCCAATTCTAACCTTCCCCTCTAAGACCTGCCATGTCACTCACATTGTAGAAAATCACCCTCATTCTTTGCATCTTCCGCTCATGAGAAGTAATTTCCACATAAACAGCTTCTTTCTGCACACCACTTCTTTCTGGTAAGGATTTCCAAGAGAATGTTTCCTCGATCTCTGTAATCTTAACCTGTTCAAATATAGGATTAACAGTATCTTCCCCTCTTATCCGTATAAATGGCCTCTTAACGTAGCCACACACCTTGCGAGACATTTTCTGCCTGTGAGCAGACGTTCTACACATAGCGGATAGTCGAATCCAAAAATTACCGTAGAGAAGATCTTTCTACACAATATAGTTGATGAACTATGAACACTACCAAACTGTGCTGACCGTGTTTGTGAAATAAAAACATTCATATAACTATATATATATATATATATATATATATGACAAATAAAAGTTTGGAAAAATCAATACATTCACTTAAAATTAAAAATAAATTCCTCTATAATAATGACTAAGAGAATAGCCGATAGCGCTCGCAGATCCAGACAATTTCTATATAAATTATGTCCAGAATAGGAGAAAATTATAAGAACAAAAGAAAAAAATTAAATAAAAAATTAACCTCAGTATATTGACTGTCGGTTTAACTTGTATAAAAGAGGGATTCTGATCAAATACACAATTATATATATATATATATATATATATATATATATATATATATATATATACATATATATATATATATTGTATGCAGGTAACAAAATACAACACGTTTATATTTTTAATATATTTTATTTCCGACAATTTATTTATTAAAGACATTTTTTTTTTATTATGTTTAACGTTGTTATTTTATAGATACAAGTATTTAAGCAAATGCTCTGTTTATGATAAACAGTATTAAATAACATTTACAAAGAAATTATAAGCAGTAAATTCGACTGTGTCTACCGAAAAGGTTTTTTCTAGCCTAGAGGTAAGGCACGTCAGCGTACATGACGGTTCCGTATAGGATGCAGGTTCGAATCCTGTCAAAGGACGAATATTTTCTATGAAAATTTCTCGGACATTCAGGCCGGTAAATGTTATTTAATACTGTTTATCATAAACAGAGCATTTACTTAAATACTTGTATCTATAAAATAACAACGTTAAACATAAAATAAGAAAAAAAAAGAAATGTCTTTAATAAATATTTCATTTCAGTATCATCAGGAAATCATATTTACGTTTCTCTCAAACAGCGATCTATCTATCTATCTATTCATATATATATATATATATATATATATATAAAGAGAGAAAAGGAAGAGGTTATACGTGTTCCAACGAGAGAAAAGTGTACATTTTAAAAAGAAAAAAGAAACCGGAAGGTTTTAATATCGATTTCTAAAAAAAAGTATATATTTTGCTTTATTTTCCATAATTTTGCAACACGTATTTCGGTTCTCATGACCTTCTTCAGGCAAAGAATGTATATTTCTACATATTATTAAAATGAATCAACTTTCCTTATGTTTTCCGTGTTAAACATTTTCTTTTTTGTGTGGTAGTGACATAAACGTCTTTTTGGGACTGGTGGTGAGAAAGTTCATCTGTTTGAAGTGTAATAAAACATTTAAGATCGGTCCCACAAAGGGTTAAGAAATATATCTGTATTCGTATCTTTCAATGACCCATGTACGTTCTTAGATCTCTTTCCATTTTTGTGTATTGTGTGTTTTTGCTAGTATGTATATGTACATACCCTCTCCATACATACATACATACATACATACATACTGTCTTCTTATAAGTAATATATATATATATATATATATATATTTAAATTTACAGTATTTACATTAGTCGGACTATTGTCCTCATCTTTGTCGCCATATTTGTCACAACGTTTCGGCCGTTGTACGCTCCGGCCTTCTTCAGGTGGTTGGAATTTCGAACTGAACCCTTTATTTCGATCGCTGGGGTAGACTGTTCTAATTCCACGTGCCATGTTTGATGGATGTCAGTTATCAGTTATCTCCTGCTAATTTTCCCTCCACTGCCTTAACCAGGAATTGAACTCACCTTCTTTGGGTCTGTCACTGGATCTAACCAACGCCTTTATCCACTGTGCCATGTGTCCTTGAGGACTTCTGGGTATGAACTTCTGAGTATTATAAACCTAATATTTTCAGCATCATTTTTACAAGTGCTCATATTGCTAAAGACTGTGTGTACGCTATCCCATGCAGCTGCGGAAAGGAATATAAAGGAGAGACAGGCCGCCCCCTCAAGGTAAGGCTTCAAGAACACCAGAAAGCTGTAACGCGAGGGAAGTAGAAAAATCAGGCGTGGCTGACCACATATGGAGAGAGAAGGAGATCACCGCCCCTGTGGGATCATGTTGAGATCATAGACAGGGAACACCATTGGAAAATTCGTAAACTTAAGGAATCAGCAAATATGCTAGGCCACAAAAATCTCCTGAGCCGACCAAGCATAGAAATAAATACAATATGGGAACCAGTAATAAGGAGTGCCAGAGAAAAGCAATGATAACAAAGTTGCAATATGAACTCTGGTAAAGACATGCAATGAAAAATGGCAAAAAATTGGCAAAAAAAAAATTGCAATATGAGCACTGTAAAATGATGCTGAAAACATTAGGTTTATAATACGATCAGAAGTTCACACCCAGATGTCCTCAAGGACACATGGCACAGTGTATCAGAAAAAGGCGTTGGTTAGATCCAGTGACAGACCCAAAGAGTTCAATTCCTGGTTAAGGCAGGGAGAACTTTCAGAGGGAAAATTAGCAGGAGATAACTTATAACTGACATCCATCAAACATGAACTGCCTGTTCAACAAATGATGACATCCGGTTTTCGCATGTGTCGTGTTTTTTTTTTCAATGACAAAATGTTTTTGGGCAATTTTGTTCTGCCGTTAAATTTGTAATTGCATACATAAAGATTTTCAAAAGGGTTGTTTGAATACGAGTACGTCGTATTAAAATACAATTTTAAAATATTATTCCTAATTCTAATTACTAATAGACTATGCTTCTTTTAAAATAATAAATGTATTGGGATTAATTTATTATTTAAAAATTATTATTAAGATATCAAATATAAGTAAATATATATGTTTCATTTTTCAGCTTTTTTTAAACATTATATAAGGGAATTTTTTGACAACGTCGGCAAAGATAGCTATTTCATTTCTTTGATTAAGTGTTTTTTTTAATTTTTTATAAACCTAATAATTCATAATTTCTCATGTATGCACAAAGGACATGGGTCATTTAATGACCTGCATATTGTAGCGTTTCTTATTAATTTCTATTTCACAGTAGGTGTTTTATTGGTTTATTTTAAGTGTCAGAAATATTCAGATAGGGACGTCTGATTTCGGTATTTATTTATTCTAAAAGAACTTTGATGTTGGTTGAAACGCTTTTTGAATTCATGTCTTGTGCATCAAATGTAGATGTTTACCTTGTCTGGATCCTCAATAGATAAGATATTACATTGGTACACTAATGATTCAGTGTGACATTTATTATTAAGATGATAGTTTTGAGGATTTCTGCAGTTACATAATTTTTGTTTATCTTCATCACCCTTTTATTATACTGTCTAAATTTCTTTTATTTTGGTCTAAGTGTTTACTCAAGATATTAGCATTATGTTTCTAAATAATCATTTCTAAGTTTTCAGTATAACTGTAACTTAATATTAGAGTATTTTATAAAAAATTGTACTGACTTTACAGTCCCTGGTAAAAGTTTTAATGATTAATGCAAGGATTTTTTTTGCCCTATTTTTTTACCATTTAGTTGTATGGGGGGGGTGTATACCAAATGCTTTTTCTACTTCTGTTTTTTCTATGGTTTCCACTTTCACTTTTTATATAATTTAGTTTTGGGCTTTTGTAATCACTATTCTTTAAAGCTTTATTATAGAAATTACTATGTTCATGTTATGTGTGTGGTGTAATATATATATATATATATATATATATATATATATATATATATATATATTATTTTACGTATACATACACACACTTCCTATGTTATGTAGGGATCGTGTTTGTGGATGTGAGTAGTCTATTTCCTTCCAGTATATGTATATATATTCGTGTTACACAGATACCCGCGTGTGAGTGTGTGCGTATGCATGTGAGTGGTTTGACCAGTTTATTTGGCCATTATGTTTGCATGTTTTGTTTTTTGTGGATTATTTTACGATCTATCTAGTGCATGTCGTCTGCCACACCTGCAGAAGAGAGTGCCATACAAAGATCGATCGTATTTCTTTATGGCATAACGGACACTGTCCGTAAAGGACTGAATTTTAACTACAAAGAAGGTTTCAACATTTTTTTCTCGCGAGATAAATGGATACTTCCTACTACTACATTTATTTTTTATTCATATGAAGTTCTTATTTGACTATACACGCACATGCAAATTATATATATATATATATATATATATATATATATATATATATATATATATATATATATAATGTGTGTATTTTGCGCGTCTGTGTGTGTGTTCATGGATGCGTATATTTTCATGCGTGTGTTTGTGCCTCCGTGTTTCAACAGCGACGTATGGTAATAATGACAAATACTTTCGTGGAATAATATAGTATTAAAATAATATATATTATTAAAAAAATTGAGGGCATCTGTCGGCTAACGGCCGTATGACATTGGAATACAGGTTCACGTAAGATCACCGAATTTAAGCTACTTTGAGCCTGCCCAGTACGACCACATACATAGGTGACCGCTTGGAAAAACCAGGAGCTCTCAGCTTGGTTGTGCGGGTGGTGTAATGAATAATGACTCGGAATTATTATTCAGCGATCCGAGTTCAAATTCCCGTTAGGTTCGCTATATTCACTTACACGTAAAAAGCCTTAGAAGAGGCATGAATTCATCTCTTCTTGTCCCTGCTATGGGTTAAATAGGAAGACTTATTGTTGTAGCATACCTACGGATCCCCATTGACATAAATACAATAGTAAATACTGTATGTTGGTCTGCAGAGAGGATCTCCAGACGAGGCTGTGTCGAGGGGCAGAATCTCGACCCGGGAAACAGCTACTCGAACCAATTTTATACGGGATCTACGAGTAATCTTTGGTCGATCCTACTGGCTCAGATATCCCACATTAAATTCGGCCTTGTGCCACATCTGACAGCGTGGGGTGGTTGGTAGATATCCTGCAGTTGGAGACACGTCTACAGCTGTGCTGGTCAAGCTCTCTGCCTCCGGACAGAGAGGATCCATAGATGAGGCTATGTCAAGGGGCAGAATCTCGTCTCGGTAAACAGTTACCTGACACCGTTTTTTATACGCGGTCTACGGGGAATTTTTTGATGGAGCCTACTGCCTCAGATACTCCACATTAAATTCGGCCTTCTGTCACATCTGACGGCGTGGGGCGAAGGGTAGATATCCTGCAGTTGCAGACTTAGAGATTCATTGTGGAATTCACTTGACTCACTTCTAGCAGTTGACTACTTCTACGCGCCGCTGGCGAATCTTATATGTGTTGTTCTTGTCCTAAGTATTATCGTTCATTATCAACCTTCGTGTTATTATTCTATTAAGTAAAAAAGCGTCATTAACTTCTTGAATGATCTCCAATGTACATTCAGGATGTGGATAGCTCTCCATAGCTTCCTGTCCTTTGTAGTCCCTAGTAAAGTTTCTCTTTTTATATCACGTAATTCCTGTTCTGCCAAGCTGGTTTGGAGCAGTTTCTTCTGTCTCTCTTGTCTTTAATATGTCTTGTGTGTGGCGAATTTTCTAAGCTCTCCTTCCTCATTATTTGCACTGTAAATTTCGACTGACTGCCTTGATTTGTGTATTTAAATGGAAAAGCATCTGTTAAAATACTTCCTAGATATTTAGAATTTTAGTTCATTTGTAGTGTGTTCCATATAGGTCATTGGTTTCTGACCAGTGACACAGTCTTGTACAGGGCAATGGATTTGGTACACTATTATTGGTCACTGCTTGTTTAGATCTGATGGTGTTGTTTCGGTTTGTGACAACGAGTTTTGAGGTATTCTATTTTCTATAATATGTTATGGGCTTTATATGTTTTTCGGGCGTAACTGCAGAAATATGGGCTTTACTAATTTTCACCATAACAAATTTATCTTATTGATAGTTATTGTGCATAAAATATATTCATGTTTTGCGGTGTTGTATTACATATATCTATCTATCTATTATCTATCTATCTATCTATATATATATATATATATATATATATATATATATATATATATTGATTCATGTTTCATTAAATGATATAGACAAGTGCTGTCTATTTATTTTATATAAATTCTTTTCATATCGTCTAATCTTAATAACATTATCATTAAACGAAGAAAGAAAATCACAATATTGATACCTATTTTTAAATCCTATCTAAGTTTTCGGCTTACATACGCCATTATCAAACATGACAATTACATTACAATATATTCAACAATACACGGACAAGACAGAGATGATAGTCCATTTCTGTTTATATGGAAGATTTCCAAGCAACAACAAACTAGTGCATATAAGACGCTGGAAGCAAAAATGACACCGCAGCTCATGACGTCACACATGATCACGCGTGAGTGAAAAAGAGAAGTATTAAGTATGGGAAATGGCTTTTGTTTCCAATTATAGGCATTTAAGAATACTTGTGGAAATTTCATAGTTTATTTTATTCATGTGAGGTTTCAACTGTTTTATGTATATAGCTTCAAAAATTTTTAGTTTTTGTTTAGTTTTCATGTTTAAGTATAGTTTTTTTTTCAACAAGGATTTTCCGGAATTGTGTATGAGGCCAGGTATGTTGTTTTAAATATATATATATATATATATATATATATATATATATATATATATATATATATATATATATATATATATATATATATACATATATATATATATATATATATATATATATATATATATATATGTTGGTTATTTAATCTTTCCCCTCCATGAATAGCATTTATGGCAACTGCAGTGGCGATTATCAGATAGCTGTTCTCAGCTATCAGGGTTGATGCCAATGCGATTCAGGTCCCTGTTGCTGACCTTCTTGAAACGTAGTGCATGACAGCCTATATAATCTCTGTGAAATAATTTGACGTTAACCATGCCTGTTATTCGTATGTGCAGTCGTGTGCGCACCTGCAAACTGCCAAATATTGTCGATGGCATATAATTGTAGAGCCTCTGTATTAAAACATCGAAGAGTGATAATTCATGTCACTTAGCCATAATATTCCCTCTTTCCGTATGAAGAACCAATTCTGCCTGTTGAATTTTTTTAAACATTTTTCTTGTTGAACGTAAAGTTGTTCTTCGAAATGTCCAACTGGAGATGGAGACGCTGACATACGTGGCATTGGATAATATTCGATAATAATTTCCTTTCTTTCTTCTTTCTTTCTTCCTTTCTTCTTTCATTCTTTCTTGCATTCTCTGTTTCTTTCTTTCTTTCGTTATTTTTCCCTTTCTTTCCACTTGAATATCGTTCATTTATTCTTTCTTTATTTCTTTCTTGTACCTTTCGTTGATGTTTCCCTCCTTTCAACCTGAGTATATTTTCTTTCTTTCTTTCTAGCTTTTTTCTTTCTTTCTTTCTTTCTTTCTTTCTTTCTTTCTTTCTTTCTTTCTTTCTTTCTAATATCTTTCGTTAACGTTTCCTTCCTTTCAACCTGAATATATTTTCTTTCTCTCTTTCTTTCTTTCTTTCATTCATTCTTTCTTTCTTTTTTTCTTTCTTTCTTAATTTCTTTCTTTCTTTCTTTCTTTCTAATATCTTTCGTTAACGTTTTCTTCCTTTCAACCAGAATATATTTTCTTTTTTCTTTCTTTTCTTTCTTTCTTTCTTTCTTTCTTTCTTTTCTTTTCTTTCTTTCTTTCTAATATCTTTCGTTAGCCTTTCCTTCCTTTCAACCTGAATATATTTTCTTTTCTTTTTTCTTTTCTTTCTTTCTAATATCTTTCGTTAAGGTTTCCTTCCTTTCCACCAGGATATATTTTCTTTTTCTTTCTTTTTTCTTTCTTTCTTTCTTTCTTTCTAATATCTTTCGTTAACGTTTTCTTCCTTTCAACCAGAATATATTTTCTTTTCTTTCTTTCTTTCTTTTTTTTTTTTTCTTTTCTTTTTCTTTCTTTTCTTTCCTTCTAATATCTTTCGTCAACGTTTCCTTCCGTTTTTTTTAACCTGAATATATTTACTTTCTTTCTTTCTTTCTTTCTTTCTTTTCATTCTTTCTTCCTTTCTTTCTAATCTTTCGTTAGCCTTTCCTTCCTTTCAACCTGAATATATTTTCTTTCTTTCTTTCTTTATTTCTTTGTTTCTAATATCTTTCGTTAACGTCTCCTTCCTTTCAAATAGAATATATTTTCTTTCTTTCTTTCTTTCTTTCTTTCTTTCTTTCTTTCTTTCTTTCTTTCGTTCTTTCTTTCTTTCCTTCTAATATCTTTCCTTCAGGTTTCCTTCCTTTCAACCAGAATATATTTTCTTTCTTTCTTTCTTTCTTTCTTTCTTTCTTTCTTTCTTTCTTTCTTTCTTTCTAATATCTTTCGTTAATTTTTCTTCCTTTCAAGCAGAATATATTCTCTTTCTTTCTTTCTTTCTTTCTAATATCTTTCGTTAACGTTTCCTTCCTTTCAACCTGAATATATTTTCTTTTTCTTTCTTTCTTTCTTTCTTTCTTTCTTTCTTTCTTTCTTTCTTTCTTTCTAATATCTTTCGTTAACGTTTTCTTCCTTTCAACCAGAATATATTTTCTTTCTTTCTTTCTTTATTTCTTTCTTTCTTTCTTTCTTTCTTTCTTTTCTTTCTTTCTTTCTTTCTTTCTTTCTTTCTTTCTAATATCTTTCGTTAGCCTTTCCTTCCTTTCAACCTGAATATATTTTCTTTCTTTCTTTCTTTCTTTCTTTCTTTCTTTCTTTCTTTCTAATATCTTTCGTTAAGGTTTCCTTCCTTTCCACCAGAATATATTTTCTTTCTTTCTTTCTTTCTTTCTTTCTTTCTTTCTTTCTTTCTTTCTGTCCTTCTTTCTTTCTTTCATTCTAATATCTTTCGTTAACGTTTTCTTCCTTTCAACCAGAATATATTTTCTTTCTTTCTTTCTTTCTTTTTTTCTTTTCTTTCTTTTCTTTCTTTCTTTTTCTTTCGTTTTTTCTTTCTAATATCTTTCGTCAACTTTCTTTTCCTTCCTTTCAACCTGAATATATTTTTTTCTTTCTTTCTTTCTTTCTTTCTTTCTCTTTCTTTCGTTTTCGTTTTCTTTCTTTCTTTTTCTTTCTTTATTTTCTTTCTTTTTTTTTCTTTCTTTCTTTCTAATATCTTTCGTTAACTTTTCTTTCTTTCTTCCTTTCAGGGTTTCCTTCCTTTCAACCTGAATATATTTTCTTTCTTTCTTTCTTTCTTTCTTTCTTTCTTTCTTTCTTTCTTTTCTTTCTTTCTTTCTTTCTTTCTTTATTTCTTTCTTTCTTTCTAATATCTTTCGTTAACGTTTTCTTCCTTTCAACCTGAATATAATTTCTTTCTTTCTTTCTTTCATTCTTTCTGTCTTTCTTTCCTTCTTTCTTTCTTTCTTTCTTTCTAATATCTTTCGTTAACGTTTTCTTCCTTTCAACCAGAATATATTTTCTTTCTTTCTTTCTTTTCTTTCTTTCTTTCTTTCTTTCTTTCTTTCTTTCTTTCTAATATCTTTCGTTAACGTTTTCTTCCTTTCAACCTGAATATATTTTCTTTCTTTCTTTCTTTCTTTCTTTCTTTCTTTCTTTCTTTCTTTCTTTCTTTCAACCTGAATATATTTTCTTTTTTCTTTTCTTTCTTTCTAATATCGTTAGGGTTTCTTTCGTTAGCCTTCCTTCCTTTCAACCTGAATATATTTTCTTTCTCTCTTTTTTCTTTCTTTCTTTCTTTCTTTCTTTCTTTCTAATATCTTTCGTTAAGGTTTCCTTCCTTTCAACCAGAATATATTTTCTTTCTTTCTTTCTTTCTTTCTTTCTTTTTTCTTTCTTTCTTTCTTTCTTTCTTTCTTTCTTTCATTGTAATATCTTTCGTTAACGTTTTCCTTTCAACCAGAATATATTTTTTTCTTTTCTTTCTTTCTTTCTTTCTTTCTTTCTTTCTTTCTTTCTTTCTTTCTTTCTAATATCTTTCGTCAACGTTTCCTTCCTTTCAACCTGAATATATTTACTTTCTTTCTTTCTTTCTTTCTCTCTTTCTTTCTTTCTTTCTTTCTTTCTTTTCTTTCTTTTTTTCTTTTCTTTCTTTTCTTTTTCTAATATCTTTCGTTAACGTTTTTCTTCCTTTCAACCTGAATATATTTTTCTTTCTTTCTTTAATTTCTTTCTTTTTCTTTCTTTTCTTTCTTTCTTTCTCAGAATATATTTTCTTTCTTTCTTTCTTTCTTTTTCTTTTTCTTTCTTTAATATCTTTCGTTAACGTTTTCTTCCTTTCAACCTGAAATATAATTTCTTTTCTTTTCTTTTTTCTTTTCTTTTTTCATTCTTTCTGTCTTTCTTTCCTTCTTTCTTTCTTTCTTTCTAATATCTTTCGTTAACGTTTTCTTCCTTTCAACCAGAATATATTTTCTTTCTTTCTTTCTTTCTTTCTTTCTTTTCTTTCTTTCTTTCGTTAACGTTTCCTTCCTTTCTTTATATTTTCTTTGAATATATTTTCTTTTCTTTTTTCTTTCTTTTCTTTCTTTTCTTTTCGTTTTTCTTCTTTTTCTTTTTCTTTTTCTTTCTTTCTTTCTTTCTTTCTTTCTTTAATATCTTTCGTTAAGGTTTCCTTCCTTTCAACCAGAATATCTTTTTTCTTTTCTTTTTTTTTTTATTTTTTAAATTTTTCTTTTTCATTCTTTTCATTCTTTCTTTTTTTTTTTCTTTCTTTCTTTTTCTTTCTTTTCTTTTTCTTTAATATCTTTTCGTTAACGTTTCCTTCCATTCAAACTGAATATATTTTTCTTTCTTTCTTTTCTTTCTTTTTTTTCTTTCTTCTTTTCTTTTTTCTTTCTTTCTTTTTTCTTTCTTTCAACCTGAATATATTTCGTTTTTTTTTTTTCCTTTTTTAAACCAGAATATATTTTTTCTTTCTTTCTTTTCTTTTCTTTTTCTTTTTTCTAATATATTTTCTTTCTTCTTTCTTTTTTCTTTCTTTCTAATATCTTTTTTAACGTTTCCTTCCTTTCAACCTGAATATATTTTCTTTCTTTCTTTCTTTCTTTCTTTCTTTCTAATATCTTTCGTTAAGCTTCCTTCCTTTCAACCTGAATATATTTTCTTTTTCTTTCTTTCTTCTTCTTTTTCTTTTTTTTCCTTCCTTTCAACCTGAATATATTTTCTTTCTTTCTTTCTTTCTTTCTTTCTTTCTTTCTTTCTTTCTTTCTTTCTTTCTTTCTTTCTAATATCTTTCGTTAAGGTTTCCTTCCTTTCAACCAGAATATATTTTCTTTCTTTCTTTCTTTCTTTCGATGATTTTTTTCCTTTTCACTTGAATATCTTTCTTTTGTTCTTTATTTATTTTTAGTATTTTTTATACACCGTATATGATGGTGTGTACGTATAAATCGACCCCCAATTTTTCAACTTAAGACGACCGCACTAAATCATATCTTAATAAATATTATATTAAATATATTAAATAAATTCAGTAAGCGTGTGCCTTCTTTTCATTCAATTTCTAATGTAAAAACGGCTGAGAGATATTGTCAATTGACTTATGCAATCTACTATGCCACATCAATTGGTGCAGTATTTTCAGCAAACTCTCGTGCTGCCTTGAATGATTTTCCCCGCTAACGATCCATTTGTTCCACTGTTAACGAATAGGATCTATACACGGCCTGTTGAGGCACACATCCAATTGTTTTTTTGTTCAACTATTCAAATATTAAATATTTGTGTCTTTTGTTGCCTTTTTTTCTTTCTTTATTTAGCTTTTACCGTCTAAAAACTCCATTCTTAACAACCTGGAAACAACAGGATTTAAAGCTTAACATTTTATACCTTTCTTTCTTTAAGAAGACCGATTTATTTCTTTGGTGATTTTTAAAGATTGAAAAGTCGTGTTAAACACCAAAACGTACATACACTTTACGTATATATATATATATATATATATATATATATATATATATATATATATATATATATATATATATATATATATTATATATTCAAGTATATGATTGGATGTATACGGAATAAATTCCAATACCCAACAATTACTATTCTTAAAGAGTGCTCAATCGGAGAGTAGAGATATAATTATTTATTTCAAAATTATAACATAAAATGTTATAAAATCACTAAAATACCCATTTCGTTTCAGCACCACTGGTGTCTTATCAGATGTTGAATGTAGATTGTAGTATATATATATATATATATATATATATATATATATATATATATATATATTTTCTTTTCTGATCGTGTTTAGCATGAAACATTTTCTGTCTCTATGGGTGTTGACATTTCTGTTCCTCTTTATTTTTAGATACGCTCTATTCCCTGATATTGGACATTAACTAATATTTCGAGCGATTATTCTTTATTTTAAATATATATATATATATATATATATATATATATATATATATATATATATATATATATATATATATTGACTTGGGAAAGGACTGTTTCTTTTTAAGAATGTATTTATTTATAAAATGTCTCTTAAATTAACACTTTAACAAGAATTAATAACTGCCCACGCTCAATTCTGTCAGTACGTTATTTTTGAATACGTGTGACAATTTAAGATCGAAATTGTGGTTGGACATACAGGGTGCTCCACAAAAAAACAGGAAATTTGGTAGATTTTATTTAATTGTTGAAATCTTTCTTACAGTTATTTGAAATAAAAGCAAAGGATAGAAATTTGGTGGTTTAAAGCCGAAAAAAAAAACACTAATGTCCGATGTGGTGTTCATACAAAGAACTCAGAATTGGCATTTTTTCTGTTCCCAAGTTGGATGTTCTTTCTTAAAGACAACAATCACCTCGCGTTGCAAAGTTGATAACTGCAGAGTATCCTGGAACACCAAATACTTAAAAAAAATTAGTTAATATTTTTGGTTCATTCATACAGTATTTTCAAGATAAATACGCTTAAAATCTACCAACTTCCCTGCCGTGTGTCAACGGTTTAGTGTTAAAATCCCGGAAATCTCCGTCTGTCGCCGATTCAGCTGGGATTCGATCCTTGCTAGAGGCAATTGGACGTCTAGCCACATTGATGAGCTGTGATACAGCGAAACAGTTAGTCTGTGGATGACAATATATATATATATATAGATATATATATATATATATATATATATATGTAACCCGGATATAAGAATGTTGTCGGGACCGGAGGGATCTCTTATATCCGGGTTTCTCTTATATCAGGTTTGGTCTAATTTATATACATTAACACAGGCTCTAATTTGGGACCAGAGAAAATCTCTTATATCCGGGTTTCTCTTATATCTGGGTTTCTCTTATATCCGGGTCTCTTATATCGTGGATACACTGTATATATATATATATATATATATATATATATATATATATATATATATATATATATACAGACATGACAGAATTTGAATAGAAACCAAGATAAATTTCATTTCTGATTTTTTTAATAACAAGATAAATTAATTGGGCCCTTAGATTATTTGATTAAATTGCAGATAACAATACTGGAACATGTCATGTCTTCACTGACTGGGAACCAAAGGAGCCTCAGACAATATCCGAATTTCACCTGTAAATCTTTTTGGACGTATGATGATTGGGACAACATATTTTCCGAATGGTCTTAGTCAAATGATTAAAATGAAAATATCATATTAAAAATCATTCAATACCCTTTCTACTGTTAATAGGGTGATCGTACAATTAGACAGACCAGAGATGGGCAAGAAGCAACATTGGCACAAAACCAAAAAAACTTCACCCAGGCCGCCCTTTGGGCCCTCTCTGAAAAAGAACCATGCGTCTTGTCGAAATGATATTCGTATATTCATATATATATATATATGGATTAAAAAAAGCAAAGGGATATCAGCCAAATCGGTTAAATGTTGAATTGTGAATTACTTGTTTCATAAAATAAACAGTTTTATGTTATCCATGTTGCAAGGCCTCTGTTAAGTGATAGCAACGAATCGAAAAGCCGATTTCAATTAGTTGATATCCAGTCCCAGAACAGCTGTCACGTATCTTACAATATATATATATATATATATGACAGAGCTGCGAGAAGGAAACCACTTCTCCGTCCAGCCAATATCAAAATACAGAAATGATTGGGCTCATAAGATGGTGGAGACCCCTGTGATCTTTTGGAAATTTGTCATTTCTCTGATGAGTCAAGATTCGCATTATTTTCCGACAGTGGAAGAGTATTGTATGGAGACTAATTCAAGAGTTTGATTTAAAAAGAGTCCTGTGGCCAACGGTGAAACATGGGGGCCTTTCAGAAAGAAAATGGTATGGGGTGCAATTTGGAATGATGGTATTCGCTCAGAGCTTGTGGACTGTTCTTCGTAACTATATATATATAATATATAATTATATTAACGGTTTAAATAAAATATGTTTCTATCTACACATTTTTAAAGAAAGGGCTCCTTCAATATTCTCAACTGGTTTTGGAATATCCAAATGGGCAAATTGATATATATTCAATGTTAACCGTTTCATTAAATAATATAGACAAGTGTTGTCTATTTATTTTATGAAGGTAAAATTTTTTATATATATATATATCTTCTGTATATATATATTTTTATAAATATACCATTTTATAAGTTTGATAAAATTAGGTTTATCATTAAACCGAAAAAAGAAACAATATTTATCTATTATATTTTTTAATATAATATATATACTTTTTCATTAAATAATATCGGCTATTTATTTTTATGTAAAATTTTTCGTATCTCATTTTGATCATTATCATTAAGATGTAATTACTTAAACATATCAGAATTAAACAATATACGGACACGGACAGTGATGATAGTCTGTCATTGTTTAGTTTACATAGTGGATCACTAAGCAACGATGAACACGCGCATATAAGACGCTAGAAGCGAAAATCGCACTGCATCTCATGACGTCACACATGACTACACGAGAGTGAATTGTAGAATGAAATAAGGAAAGCCGTTGGTATAAACCAATGGCTTCTCAATTATAGAAATTATAGACATTTAAGAATATTTGTAGAGATTCCATAGTTGATTTTGTTTAGGTTGGGTTTTAACTGTTTGATGTATAATGCTTCAAGTATTTTTAGTTTTTGTCTATTGTTTTCATGTCGAAGTAAAGTTGTGTTTTCGACAAGTATTTTACGGAATTGTGTGTGCGGGCAGGCATGTTGTTTTAAATGCCTAAAAATGTTAGAGTTTTCATTAAAATGTAGTGTCAAGCGTCGTGAAAGCGAGTTTTTGGTGTGACCAACATAAATATTATTTAATTCGTTGGAGATACACTCTCCCAAAGGGCACTTGAATTTATAAACTATGTTGGTTTTTTGCAAATCGCTAACCGGGGGAGAAGAATCATTGCGAATAATTAAGTTGGATATACTAGATTTAGTGTAGTATATGATTAATTTAATTTTTTTGCGAGGATCTGTAGTTGATATATTAGAATTTACTAAATTTTTTAGTATATTTTCATCTTGTTTATAATTAGTATGCATTTGATTACGATATAGGAGATTAATATATTTGAGATCAGTAGAAGCAGTATTATGTACAATTTGCTTATTATTGAGATTTCTAAGAAAGCATCTTATTTGTTCATCAACTATATAGTTTGAAAAGCTATTATTAATAAGTGTCTGTTTTATATTCTTTAGTTCACTGTAAAAAATCTGTTTGGTGGATGAATTAGTTTCTGCACGATGTATTAGATTCTTTATAATTGCTATTTTGTAGTAATATGGGCATTCGCTCTTGTAGTTAAGTGTACATGAATTTATGCTTGTAGGTTTTTTTTGTATGGCGAAATAGTAAATTTATTTTATTATTTGTGTTTATCAATATGTCAAGGAAGGATTTTATTATTAGTATTGAGTTCATATGTGAATTTAAGGACAGAATTATTTTGGAACCGTTTTTGAAGTTGAATTATTTCATCTGTATTTTAACTAACATAAGAATATCATCAACGTATCTTATGTAGATTGATGGTTTTTAAAATCTGTAAATAACTTATTTTCGAGGTTCGACATGTAGAAATTGCTAAATGTCGGGCCCAATACTGAACCCATGGAGACACCATCACGTTGTATATATATATTGTTATTATGATCGAAGAAAGGGACTTCAGTAGTACAAGTTAATAGTAGTTTTCTTAATATATTAGGATTATGTCAATAGTTTCACTAACAGGGACA